TGTAGGGGACAGCACTACTAGATAGACGTTAGCAACTTCAGTCTGTCCTACCAACTCTAAGGGGCGACAGGCTTACAATGTAGCTTAGCTAGTTGTGTTTAAGCCTAGCGTAACAGTGGTGTGAAGCACTTGACTAAAGTAGTTCAGATAACTGTAGATAATGCCGTAGCTGGTGAGATTTTGGAGTATTGCATAGTGGTACAATCTTTTAATAAAGGAAGTGGTTGTAAACTGGGGTCTCTTCATAATATGGTGTAGAAAGCCTCTCCCAACAAAGCGTTCATGTAACTTTTTATTGCGCAGGTTTCAGCACACTGGTCGGTTGAAGAAATAGTCAGAGGAGTTAATAGCAATAACATGGAGCTTCAGCTACAGGCTACTCAAGCTGCCAGGTAAGGAGTTTAGAGGTAATGAATTCAACTGTGCAAGCCAGTAAGGCAAGGTAAAAGAATTGGCTTGTGAGCCAAAGTGTCTGCTTATGGCAGCACTTATCGCTCTTCTTATCAGAGAGGATTTCAACAAATACCGAAGTCAGCCTTGTATACAATGTTTAGGGGTGCTTAACTTAGTCATAGTTTTATTGAAACCATGTGGCTTTTGAATGTTTAAAGAGCCTGAACATTTTACTAGGAAGTAGGAATTCTAGTGGTTTGGAAGTGGCAAAATAAACAGTAGCTCATCTTAGAGTTGTAGGAGTAATAATAATAAACCCTTTGTTACAGCAAAATAACATAGCTTTAAACTGTGTTAACATCTAGCTGCAGTATTTGAGTGCAGTGATCTGCCTTAGAATAATGTGAACAGTGAGATGACTGGGGTTTGAAGTATGCCAAGCTTCCTTTCTCCTTCCAAATCTAAAATCTCCTTTAGTGAGCTTGTATATTGCTGCAGTGCTGCTTCTGGCAGTCATTAGCCTCTCCGCTGAGAAACCTCTAGCAATGCAGATGTGTTATGACTCTTGCAGGTCTGCTTTATTTCAGAGTCTGAACAGAACCTCTCGTATAGTGAGGACATGCCAAAAACAATGTTAACGGAGATTTAGGAAGTTAGTGTTCAGCTTGTCTGTATTTCTCCTTTATGTTACGTTGACTTCTCTGAATGTTAAGGCAATGATAAATCTTATTTTTTAAAATATGGACTTTTTTTAGACTGTTTAATCTATCATTCATATGTCTGCAGGCAAAAAAAAATGCTTTCTGTTTGTCCTCCTCCTTAGGAAACTCCTCTCAAGAGAGAAGCAGCCCCCGATAGACAACATAATTCGGGCTGGTTTGATTCCAAAGTTTGTCTCCTTCTTGGGCAGAGCAGACTGTAGTCCCATTCAGTTTGAATCTGCCTGGGCACTTACCAACATTGCTTCTGGCACGTCCGAACAAACGAAGGCGGTAGTAGATGGAGGGGCTATTCCAGCCTTTATTTCCCTGCTGGCCTCTCCCCATACTCACATCAGCGAACAGGCAGTGTGGGCTTTAGGAAATATTGCAGGTATGTTGGTGTGCTGCATGACTTCATTTCAGACCTGTTCCCTTATTTAAAATAGGAGGACATTGCTACTGACATAGCTGCATGCTGAGCTGCTTGGGAGCTCTGCCTTAATGGCTGTCAAGTAAAGACATGCTCTGCAATGTCGAGTATGCAACAGTGGTTCTTCAGGCCTGGTATAAGATGACTCGGGCAACACCTGGCAACCTGTGGGTTGTGTTATGTGGATTCCTTCCCCTTCAGTTCAATTTTGATAGAGCTATATAGCCATGCTACACAAAGGGCTTTTTCACATACCAGTGTTTCTGTGACTTACCAGTGAGCTCTGCTCTGTGGTGACTAGAAGGGGGAAGGGAGGAAGCAGATGGCTCATGCAATTGTGTACGTGATGGCTGCTATTACTTGCCTTGAAACAGCTACTTACTGATGTATTATATACTGAAGTTTCTTGTGCCCCTTCCAGGATTACTTGATCTGCCAATGTTGGATCCCATTCTTAAAAGAAAAAGGCCGAATTAAAAATACAGTTAAATACTGTATTTGCTGTATTATGGTTTCCAACAGCTGTGCCTTACAGAGAATAGTGAATCTTCATGCAGAGAAAATGAGCTCAATAAAAGCCTTGCTTGATTGGAGTTTTCTTAAAGTTTGTTCTTAGTTTTTTAAACTCAATTATAAAGTACTTTTTGTACCATGCAATAGAAGAATTCAGGCAAACTTTGACATCCTATCAGCATTATACTGTATAATCCAATCATGTAACCAATTATTGTAATGTGCTTGAAGCCCTCTATTATGGGAAGAGGTCTGTTCTAGTTAGTGGTAGGGCTTAGATATGTTTTCAAAGAAACACACAAGTCCCTGGTTAGTTATGAACTAAGAAAAGCTGTATAGAAAACATATGCTAAATTACCTCTTTCCAACAGAAAAAATGAAGCTCAGTGGCTTAATTAGAAAAACACATGCTTGTCATATGACTTAACCTTGTCAGTAGCCCTTTTGTCCTATTATTCTTGTTTTATCTAGCCCTTAAGCAGTAGAAGAACTCATCCTCTAACACACAATGGTTCTTTGTCATGTGTCCCTCTAGTCTGGTCTTCACCTGGCTATTTTTCTTGTTTCCTCAGGGGATGGTTCTACCTACAGAGATCTGGTTATTAAATTTGGTGCAATTGAGCCTCTGCTGAGTCTACTAGCTGTTCCTGACCTCTCTTCTCTGGCTGTAAGTGTGCAGTACGATTCAAATTACAATTACTAATAAGTGAGTAAAAGAGCTCAAGTAACTAAACAGTTGCTAACCACTGATTTCAACTATTGCAGTCTGGATATTTACGCAATGTTACCTGGACCCTCTCAAACCTGTGCCGTAACAAGAATCCTGCACCACCCATAGAAGCTATTGAGCAGATTCTTCCAACTCTCGTTCGGCTCTTGCACCATGACGATCATGAGGTGTTAGCAGACACATGCTGGGCACTTTCCTACCTAACAGACGGTTCCAATGACAGGATAGAAGTTGTAGTGAAAACTGGATTGGTGCCACAACTTGTGAAACTCCTGGGATGTAGTGAACTGCCAATAATGGTAAGCTATCGGACATGCAGATTGCTGTAGCCTGATCTGAGTCATGAATAAAACTGCAGTTAGAACAGTGTCCAGGTGACTGAATGGTTCTTTACATGCATAAATCAGATACTTGTTCTTGGTTTTGCATAGATAAGACTTGAGCTTCTATCTTGCCTGGAGACTGCCCTGCATGAACCATCAACAAATGCTGTTGATGACTGTCAGGATTCTTTACATGGTCATTGGATTTAGCACACAGGCCAGCACAAGAGGCCACATCCTCCAAAGCCTGTGTTTGACTCTGAACTACTGTTGCAAAGACAAATTTTAGGCGCAGTGTTTAGACATGGGCTTTGTGCACACTATGATGATAGTATAATAAAACTGCATTAGCACTTGGGAGATGGCTTTCCTAACTGTCACAGGTGGTGGTTTGCAGGTTGGCCTTGGGAGGTGTGTGGCCTTGGCATGCTTAAGGTCTGTGTGTGCAATGCTAATGAGGAGCTGGGAACTCATCACATAAAATACCGTGCTGTTAACTGGGAAGGCTGGAGTGGAGGGGCATCAAGGATGGCTGTACCTGTTCACAGATCAGATGATACCAATTTTCCTAAGTACTGTTTTCATATTTGTTTCAGACTCCTTCGTTAAGAGCCATAGGAAACATTGTCACTGGTACTGATGAGCAGACACAGATTGTTATTGACTCGGGAGCATTATCTGTCTTTCCAAGTCTTCTTTCTCATCATAAAAACAACATTCAGAAAGAAGCAGCATGGACGATGTCCAACATCACCGCAGGACGCCAGGATCAGATTCAGCGAGTTGTAGACCATGGTCTTGTGCCTTATCTCATTGGTATTCTGAGGAAGGTAAACAAAAACTAATTTACCATGTTGAGGCTTTTGCTATTGCTACTGCAGTCTGTTCAAATACCCTGCTTCTACCTTCACAGGGGGATTTCAAATCTCAGAAGGAAGCTGTGTGGGCTGTGACCAACTACACAAGTGGTGGAACAATTGACCAGATCGTGTATCTTGTTCAGGCTGGTGTTGTTGAACCTCTACTGAATCTCCTCTCGGCTAAAGACAGCAAGACTGTGCTGGTTATCCTAGATGCTATTTCTAACATCTTCTTGGTATGTGGATGCAATACAGTCATTCACTGTCCAGGCTGTTGCTAATTGTTCTCCAGCAGTTGGTGCTGTACCTCTTTCCTGAGGTTATTCTACGCTTGTCTCTTGCAGGCTGCTGAGAAGATTAATGAGACTGAAAAACTTTGTCTCATGGTTGAGGAGTGCGGGGGTCTGGATAAAATTGAAGCTCTCCAGTCACATGAAAATGAACAAGTGTACAAAGCCTCATCCACCCTGATTGAGAAATATTTCTCAGCAGAAGTAAGTGGCTGCAGGATGATTTGTTTTCCACTTTTATTTTCTGCTATAGCATGGACTCTTAGGTTAAAATGCTACTGCTTTTTCAAAACTCTTTCTTTTTCTTCTAGGAGGAGGAAGACCAAAATGTTGTACCAGAATCTACTGCTGCCAGCTACACTTTCCAAATTCAGGGCAATACTCCAGATACTTTCAGCTTCTAGATCTTGCATATACTGCAACCACCTACATGTCGTTTGGCAGGCAAATGACTGCCAGCTCTTTGTCTTAATTCCTCTTGGTTTTACTGTGTTTTTTATGTGACCTGTAGCACTTTGTCCAACTGAAACATACTTGAACAGTTCAAAACTGTACATATGTGAATTTCTAACTGTAAACTTTGTTCTTTGAGATACACTTGTAAATACTCGTTCTCTTTCTGGCTCTTGATGCCCTGTCAGGGGTAAGAATGCAAGTAGGCAAGGCAGGTTTCTTGCAGAGCATGAGCCACTACTCTGCAAACCTCTTCATAACCCTTTACATTCTACATAACCTACTACTGTAATCAATACACTGAGTAGGCTTTTAAAGAGGATTTATATTTGAAGTTCAATAAAGTGATATCAATACATTGAATTTAATTATGTCCATTGCTCCCTTAAATAGGTTACTGATAGGGTAAGTAAACTTAATCAAACTGTGTAATGGCAGGAATGTAGGGCTAAACCATGAGATTTAATTTTGAAGATGGTGGGTTTTAAACACATTGGTCACCTTAAAGCCCTGACTTCCATATTTAGCAACCTTCTATTACAGCAGAACAAATGAATCTGTACTTCTGTAGAGATTTGTTCCACCCTGTTCCTAACTGAGCTAAACTGTCTTCTGCCTTTTGGAGAGATGTTAAAAGTCTATAGCAGCACTAAACTGCAAATAGTAATGTGGAGCAGTTAACCAACTGTAGGTATGTGCAGGCAGCCTTAGCATAGAGCGCAGGAAATGCTTTGAAGCAGTTGTCTGCTCTGGGGAGCAAAAATGAAGGCCTCACCTTGGAATCTTCTGTCCCTTTACTTCTAAAAACATTGCTGCCAGTAACATGCTCTGTCTGTGAAGGTGGTGTGGAGAGGGAGGCGGGGGGGGGGGGGGGGAAGCCTGTAGACCTGTTTTCCAGCTTTTCAGAAAAACTTGGATTGAGCTATTTCATTAACTAGAACTTCCCAGGAGTCAATGTGTCTGAATAACTTTATTGACTCAGCTCTCGGAGCTTCTCTGCCTCTTACGATGGTGCGGGAGAGGTCAGTTTTTTGTGGCTGGAATTTTCATAAGCATGACTTAGATTTGAAACATAGAGTGTCACTTCAGTTATTAATGAAAGGGGGGAATCTAATGTGTAGAACATTCTCCTAGAGTTCCTATAGGCTTTGCTTCAGCCTTTATGGGGGCGAGGGGAATAAAAATCCCAAACAAATACGAAACAAAAACCCCTTGTGTATTCTGCTTGGTGAACCTGATGAAAGAATCTGGTTTGGGTTTGGTCTTCTGCGTTAGTCTCCTTGTTGTGTGCTTTCAAGTCTATTTTAAAGCGTGTCTGTGTGTGTAACTGGATTTGGGTGTAAATCTTTACATTCTTCATTCAGAGAAGGACACTAAACCTAGATGACCATTCTCATATACTGCTACTGCAGCCTTTTTTGAATGAGTTATCGCTAATGCAGATGCTGTCACTCGCTTCCATTATGGTGGGGCAAGTCTCCTATTTGCTTTGCGTGTTTACATGCAAAAATTGAACCCTCCCAAACTGGAGACTGGTGATTATGTATGCACCCCTGGACTTCTCTGTACAAGCCACTTGCTTGGACCTTGGGTGCTGGTGGATAGTGATAATGTTACAAAAGGTGGCAGCTTAACTTGTCTGCGTATACATTTGTGTCTCTTCTGAGGGTTAGCAGCACTGATGTTCCTTGCAGAGCAAACACCCCTGAACTCACCTGCATAAGCACACGTCTGCTGGGCTATTTAAGCCACTCAGAATGTGGCCTGGGAGACCCTTGCCCTGCTGTCACTGGTGTATCAAGAAGGGGTTGCAGATTTTGTGTGTCACAGAAGCTGCTGTCTTGCAAAAATCACAGAAACCTGAACTGATGAATCTCAACTTCATACTTTCAGCTGTACCACTTTGGGTTTTTTTCTTTACCCCAAAGCTGCAGCAAGTAATAAGCTTTACTACAAGTCTTCAAAAACAATCAGTCCAATGGCTATTGTAACCCTGTTGCATCTTCTGCTTGAGTTGATGGGAGCGTCGCTAGCCTTCTGTCTCCGTGCTTGTGCTGCCAAAGGAAGGGCGAGACTGGAGCGTGGCTGCTGCGTGTTCCCAGCCCTGCCAGCCTTCTGTGCTAATGGGGGGCTCTGCAGGTGGCAGCCAGCACCTGCAGAAGCTGTAGACAGTGCCAGACTGAGGAGCAGAACGCAAGTCTAACACCACAGATACTGCAACACCCTTGGGACCAGATCCTGGTGCTATCTTAGTGGTACCCATGCAAAGTGGAGAGAACCATCTGCCTTGCAAAGCCGAAGCCTTTCATGTTCTGGGGGAAAAAAACAACCAAATAGGGCTTTTGGGCATCTGCAGTGAAGGCTCGTGTGTCCTTTGTCGTCAAACCTCCAACTTTGACCTAAAATTGTCAGTTACAAAATCATGATTTTCTGTGTAACTGTCGGTAGAGAACGGAAATAATTAATCTATATAAAATCAATTATGCAAAGTCAGCTTTCATAAATGAAATAATTGTTTCCACATACTTTGTGTGTGGGTTTATAAGGGCGGTGACACAATGACTTGTAAAACCCAATTCAGAATTCTTGAGTAATTTTATTAAGTTTCGAACTCTGGAAAATATCGTATCTTCCGGTAGAGGGTGCTACAGGCAGCCTCACAGCCCCAGAGGGGGATGTGGTTCAGCCAGCCTGGACCACTCAGGTAGGACGCACTTTACTTCCCTATTAAGAAGATACTGGGATAAAATCCATCACGGCACCTCTTGTAGTTACAAAAAACATGTATGTGCTAATTTCCGAGTAATTAACCGGGTTAAATATTGAATATAAGGTATAATCTTTTAAAAGTGGTGTGTCAGGTACTGTTACTTGAAAACACAACTCCTTGCTTTAAGCACTTTTTAGTAGATCTGCAGTTAATTTGACTTTTCTGTCTGTATATAGTAAAGAAGATGAGAATGCAGAACACTTGTTGAGCAGTGCTATCTCTGCTTTTTTTTTTTGCTGAAGTACTTGTTTTAGAATTATCTAATACATTGAGTTAATAATAGAACACTGCAAATTCTTCTCCAGATGCCTGACAGCTCAGTGGCTTAATAATTAACTTTCTGGGGACCGAGACTTTCTTTTTATCCAAGAAAAATTTGTTCAGCCTATCCACAAATGAGCCCTGTTCTTGGCAGCATGTATTTCCACAAGCAACAATCTACAGTGATTATGAGTAAGTGACTGGGGTGAGTCACTCCTTATTCTAAGAAAATGCAAACTATTTCTGAGGTTAGGATCACAGTCACCCATTAGGCTGTGTTTCTAGCTTTAAAAAAGTGGTAGGAGCAAAAGGGAGAATTTTTACTGCTCCTGGTTCTAGTTTGTTGGTTGGGGGTTTTTTTGTTGGTGTGGTTTTTGGTGGGTTTTTGGTTTTTTTTTTTTTTACATTGCTCAGCCAGATTGAAGAGCTACCCTTCTTTATTTGGCAAATGCCTAACTCAGGACAAGGGCTGGAATAAATGTCTGGTGGCCTATGTGTCAGTCTGCCAACTCCTCTGTGCTGAGAGCAACAATAACAGACCCCTGCTGACATCAACTGGCCTGGAATGCAGCTGTTGCTAATGCTGTTTTATCTGTGGGGTGATGGCAAGATTTCAGTCTAAGATCTCAGCAAACGCAGCCACCTCTGAAATTCTGATGCGAGCAGATGCTGCCTGTGTGATTGCTTCCACTTGCTGTTTCCAACGATGCTAAGCTCTGTAAGAGGAGCAGAGGCTTTGCGGTCCTGTTGTTCAATAGCATGCCTGTTCACTTTCCACTACAGAAAGAACAGTTTAAACTGTAGAAAAGCTAGAAACTGTTAAATTAGGAGAAATCTATTCTTTCTTTCCCTGTGACTTAGGCTGAAACAGTCTCTTAAGCGAAGCTGCTTCCTGCTGCTCTACACAGAATTATTTAAATTGCACAGGACTACAGTGGTATATCAGCAAAAAAGAATGGTTGTAAATTTACAGGAAAAGGAATTCACTAGCCAATATTTCACAGATCTCTTCTGTTTCTAAATCTGTTTTACAGCAGAGCAAACTGAGATACAATAAAGTTATCTACAGACGTTCAGAAAGCAGTTGTCAGAACTAACCTGGAGCCTGGGAATCCTGATGTCCATTCTTTTAGTTAACCCATGGCACCTCTGGTCATGATTCTCCTTTCTGCTCAATATAGGATTATCACAGCAGGACTGAATCTCTTTTGTGATAAGGTATGACATAATATTTAAGCACAAGTCTAAACTTTGGGAGTGTCTACAATTTGGGGGGAAAGTACTGTTATTCAAAACAGCAGTAATTCATGAAAGTTAGTTGTGACTGGTGATATTTGGCCTGTAGAGGAAGATGTTGGGACTCTCACTTAAAACCTAATGGGAAACAAGTTAACACTTGGATCTGAGCTAAAAACTTAAGCTTGACTTAACTCCAGGGGAACATGTTAGGAGAAAAGTCTAAGAGGAAATTAGTGACCCCCCTAAGGTTGGGAGGGGTGTACCCAACCCAATTGAAAAATCCAGAAAAAAAAGCATTCGGAAGAACGCTCAAGCTACGAGTGTGCGAAGTTGTTTGTTGTGTTTGGAAAACACTTGCTGCTTATTGCTCCACGGCATGGCACTGGTAGGAGTCAGGCAGAAACTCAGCGTGGGGACAGCTAGGAAAGAATTGATTTGCTGTGACTTTCACAGCCCTCCACGTGCAATAAGGGTCACAGGATTCCAGCCCTGTTTCTGACTGCAGAGCACTGTCTGTCTCAGACTGGCTTTTCTCTCCCGCAGAAGCCAGAAGATTTCGTGGAAGAGCCATGGCCCGTTTCCAGGTTGCAGTTCACCCACTGCCCTAGGGAGTGTCATTAGTGGGAGGGAAGTGAAGTTGGAATTTAAAGGGATGAGGAGAGGAGAGAAAAATTAAAGCAG